TGAGAGGGAGTGTGCATAGTCGTAGACGCTTGCATTCTGTTCACCATGGATGCATTGTCGGCGGTCTCCTGACAGTCATGCGAAGCGTCTGTCGATAGATTCCTCGGGTACTGCGAATTGAAGTAAGTATTCTGAGCAGGTGGCATCATACTCAGATTCGGAACACTCGTGGACGGCATGTTGGTTGATATCATAGCACCGCCGGTTTGATACGGTACTTGTTTGTTGTTATACTTCTGCTGGGGCATCGCGAAGCCTTGCTCTGGATGTTTAACCATCCCCTGATTCGGCACGTTCATGCCGCTCATCTTGGAGTATTCTTTGACGTTGTAAGAATACTTCTGGTACTCTCCCGTGTAGTTGTAGTTTTGCATGGGATAGTTCGGCAACATGCTCGAGGATGACGGATAATTGCGGGAAATCAGGCGGTCCTTGCGATATTTAAAATCGGAAAAGTTCCTCCGGTGATCAGCGTTAGGTCCATTAGGCGGTGGCACCATAGGCGGCAGAACCTCCTTGCTGTCAAAATTGTCCTTCCTAAAATTATAATCGTTTCCGAATCGTCGAGCGTCCGTTTGGTATCCGGTGGACGTGCGAATATTCTCCCTGTAAGTCGCATTGTTCGGATAAGAACAGTACTGCTGGTAACTTATGTTAGGATCCGGATTGCAGCACAAACCCTTGCAGGGAACGAAGGATGGCGGGGGACCCGTCCTACTAGCGGCATGCGAATTCACGTTGGTGTTTCGTGATCCCATTGACGCATGCGGTGCATTCATATTCATCACGTTTGGTCCATTTAAATGCGAGATAGGCCCGTTTAAAGGCACCTGATTATTTCTATAGCCTAGCTCTTCGTTTATACCGCCTATCGCGGCATTCCTCGGATCCATAGGACCATTCAGATTGTCCACCATGGGATTTCTCGTATTCGAAGGCCCATAGTGGCCAATGCAATTCTGCATCTGCACCATCGACGCGAGAGGATTGTTGTCAGTGGCATTGTGACCATGCGAGATGTTGCTAGACAGATGCGGCTGAAAATGCCTCGGATTAAAATTGGAGTCGTTTTGGTGTTTCTCGAGTCCCTCCGAGCTGAGATTCAGACCGTTCAACTGCGTCGGGCAGGTCGGACTAATACTGGAGATAAACGATAAGTGTCCCGAATTGACATTTTGAGCGGTCGATGTTACATCGTTTATTCCTGATTGTGGAGGATTATACTGATGCCAATCTGGCATATTTCCACTGTAGTTCATTGTACATTGTTTTGCTATTATTTTGCTGTGATTACATTGTTCTCCTTGTTCATCGAGATCTGTCCAAGTACTAAGAGCAGGGGATTACCTAAGCAGAAAAGACTAGATGTTATTTATTACAGTGTATTTGTAATAGTTATTACACAGTTACGCAGAAATTATAGATGTTTTTATTTGGAGGACTACCATGTTATATCCACCTCGACGATCACAAAGGGATTATAATGCGTAACACAGGTTTGATAATCTCTAAGATACAAGGAACACATTATCTCTTTATAGTCCAGATTATTTCTCACTAACAAGCAAAGATCAAATATTTCATCCTCACTTTAATCTAATTCAAGTAACATATGACTATGGCTTTATAGTTTCTCATATTTAAGATTATCTTACGCACAATATTAAGATCATGAACTACAATCAAACAGCTGCATTAGTATCTTAAGATATTACTTAAGATAATCTTAAAATAAGAAACGATTATGAATACCAGCCTATGATTTTTTTTTGTTATTAATCAGAACTTATTATATATATGTATATATATATATATATATATATATATATAAAAGGCTGTTACTTATAATTGATTCTTATATTTAAAATCATCTTAAATACAATCTTCAGATGCCATAACCCAATCACAGACTGGCATTTACAGTATACATATAGTCCATTTTTATTTTAAGACCGTCTTAAGTAAAGTCTTAAGATACTAATGTGGTTTTCTGGCCAGTATTTATAATCGATTCTTACATTTTAGACAGTCTTAAGATGTCATAAACCAATTCAAGGGTCCTATTAGCATATTAAGATATTAATTAGTATCTTAAAATAATTTTAAAATAAGAATGAACTATGAATACTGTCCTCTGATTGGTTCATGACATCTTGAGACTATACTTAAGGCAGTTTTACATATAATGAACTTTTTTATGGACAATAAGTCATTGGCTGCGTTCCACAGAAAAGCAGCTTGGCAACTGTTGTAAAATTCTTGAATATGACTGGTTTATACATTACAATCTAAGCTTTAAGTCTTAAAAAACTAAATCGACATTAAAAAGGACATATAAGAGTCAAATAAATACTTAAATGTAAATATGTCACATAAATACAAAGAAATTTAATTAAAGTTTATAAAACCATTACAGCTTATTATTAAGCCATCTTCAGATGATCCATAATTATTCTTCAAGATATCCATATATATTCATTAATTCACAATAGTCCTTGATAAATTTTTGAATGCTCGATGGGTGTCCAGAACCAAAATTTCTTTCTCAACAATTTACAGATCAAAAACTTGAAATTTCCAGATATGTTATATCTAGACACCCATCGAGCATTCAAAAATTTATCAAGGACTATTGTGAATTAACGTATATATATGGATATCTTGAAGAATAATTATGGATCATCTGAAGATGGCTTAATAATAGGCTGAAACACACATGTAATGGTTTTATAAACTTTAATTAAATTTCTTTGTATTTATGTGATATATTTATATTCAAGTATTTATTTGACTCTTATATGTCCTTTTTAATGTCGATTTAGTTTTTTAATATTTAAGAGTCCTGTCTATTTTTCATTATTACTTTAAGTCTTAAGTCGCAAGAAACAGGATCAATCATAGATTATTCTTATCACCTTCAATTGTGATTTGTTAATTTCTTGCAACTTAAGACTTAAAACTAAGGTAATAGCTTATTGTAGAAAGCCCATAAGAATCGATTATGAGTACCAACTTATGACATATCTTAAAATTATACAGGTCATAGAGCTGTATTAACACACTTTAAGACATTACTTGAAACTGTCTCTGTAAAAGAACAGACTACGAATACCAAAGAACACAGTTTGCGATTATGAGTAGACATTGGTTTATTTATTTGAAAAACAGCAGCATTGTTATATCCACCTCGACGATCGCAAAGAGCCTAGAACGCATAACACAGGTGTATGCTTATGACCTAGATACCTCTTTGATATGTTTGGCATATGAACCCCCGCACATGCACGTACACGTAGGCATACATGCGCCTCGCGAGCATGGGTCGAGCGTGCTCCGTCATCGAATGTAAATGAAGGAAATAAATATTCAACGGATAGTTTCGCTACGCAAAACTGGAGCGAAAGAGCCGAGCTGTCAAGCCGCGGATTAGAGCTTGACCGAGCACCCCCGACCGTGCCTCACGTCTCGGCGCTGGAGCGCGCACTAACAGGTGACACCATATTTACCGAGGTTGTAAGCCATTGTTGGTCACCCTACCCCCAGACCCCGCGGCGCGGGTACGTGTTTACGTTCGCCTCGCGACAGAACGCCTCGTCGTCACGGAGCGCCGAGCCGTGCTCGCGATACGCGGATTTACATGCGGAGTTATTGCGAGAAACGCGCACCTTGCCACACGCGGGGCCTTGAAGGTACAACACAACTGACAAACACACGCACACACACACGCACGCACGTACACACATACACTTATACGCACGCAGGTCCCGTCGCGACGAGTTGTCGCGTCGTCGTCGCTCGCGTTGAACGCACGTGATCACCGCGACGACGACGACGACGACGACGAGGACAAGGACGAGGGTGCGTGGACCGGATCGTCGAGATCTGCCGCGGATGGTGTCTCGCGGGGGTGAAATTCACGCTCCAGAACTTACCTGCACGTTAACATCGCTCACAACACGCACGCCATATTGGACACGACTGCTTGCGCCAGTTGCGCCGTGCGGGAAAAAAGAGACGAAAAACACGCGCGCGCCCTCTGCGGCGGAGGCGCGCACTTCGCCCCGTTCGTCATTCGCGTGTGATCGTGTGTGCGCACGTGTGTGCGTGCGCGCGCGCGGCCACCTGTTTTGTAGTACTTGGAACTGCATGCGTGCGGCGGATGCTCGTAAAAATACGATGCTAATCGCCTTATGCGCTTTACGCCTCGCTTAATATAGCTATGCGAATGCTGTTGACTCGTCGTGACTCGTCGCGACGAAGTCACGGGCGCAAAAACCTCGTTATGAGGTACGAGAATAGAACGAGGTTTCTGCCGAATTTTGACATACATACTAATGACTCGAACGTGTCTCCTGTGTGTATAGAAATTATCTCGCTTTCTGAATATTCGATAAAATTTTGATGTCCTTTTTTTATACTTGCGTTCTTCAGACGTGTACATAATGTATGATGTGAGTTACGCAAGTTTTTGCGACTTGTAGAATATGTATAAAGTATTCAAACATTTTTTATACATTGGAAATGTCTAATTTTACACAAATCTAATTTATTAAAGGGATACACAGATGGCTGTTTATGTAATAAATTATAATTTATATTAAAAGTATGTACAGTGTGTATTATTGCTTGTATTTAAGCTTAGACTAGGGTAGCTATCCTTACTGTTACTTTTTATTTACTATTATTGAGGCTATGAGTGGATTTTTAAACATTATTCGCATAAAAATAGGAAAATCTGTTGCCTATCCAAAGAGAATATATACATGAATGCCTAAAATTTCTTACATTCTTATTTGACCTATGAGAGGAACAACTTTTTATTATAAAAAAAGATGCTTTAAGGATTAGCCATAAATAAATGAATTATAAAAGATATTAATACGTTAATAAAGATCTATGCTCCGCAAAGTATGTGTTTGCTATTCTTAAATAAAAAATAGATTAGTGTAAAAAAAAAGCATTTTTCTAATTACTAAAACACTTGATATTGTCTTTCATTCTTTTTTGATGTCTTTTTAAGGGTTTAAATTTAATTTAACAGCTTCTTGTCGTATCACAGAGATGAGTTCTTGGTTTATTAAAAATGTGAACCTCAGTCCTGCAATCTGTAAAAAAAAAATGTATGTAGCGTGATTAAAAACTATTTTTTAGTTAAAAAAAATTAATTATTTAAGAGAAAATTACTCCAATTAAATCTATTATGCTTTATGCATAATAGATTTAATTGGAGTAATTTTGTAATAATTATAATTACGTAAGAATTTATGTAATAATTACCTCAATTACACTATTGTTATTCAATTTCATCTTATTGCCAGCCAAAATTGGTCTGCTGTCTACAAAAATCGGCCGTTTTCCCTCGGACGACAGAAAGAAGTCTCCATTATTCCTTAAACGGATGGTACCCTGTCGACGCGAAACTTTCCACGCTGGACCTTCTAAACCAAGATCCACGTCAACAGTATGATCTTTTGTAGAACGTCCCACACTTATCTAAACAAAGATATAGAATAGAATATGAGATGTAAATCTTTTAAAATAAAGCAATAACTTATTATATATGAATAATTATAAAATAATCATCTTATGCTTGCCTCTTACCTCTCTAGATCTCATAAGATATCGGACAAGTCTTCCCCTTAAAATGGCTAAGGTTTGATTATCAAATTCTGGAGGATTGATGCCTGTTACGCTGTCGACAAGTACCTGCCATCTACCAAGTTCATTTTCCAATACTTTAATTTCTTTCTTGTTTTTTCTGTCCGCCGTTGCCAATTCAGTGTCCACTAATTCATCTTTCGGTTCCATTAATTCGGTGTCGTTAATCATATCTTCGGCATCCGAAAAACTTAACACGTGTTCACCTCGTGGTAAACTTTGCACTGTCTGATCCGGCAATAAGTGATATTGTTTCATCAATTGCCAATGGCTGTGTAACGCTTTCGCAGTCCTAGCTGGATAAAACGTATGTGCATTTGCTTCAAGTAATTCTTGAAATACTTCCAATGTTGGTTGAGAAGTCTGATGAGATAAAATAAAAATAATCACACACTCTCATAATAATACAGTTATTAAAAAAAAGACTAACTCATTTCCATCAATATACATCAATATACATAATCTTCATTTAATTTATTCTTCTTTTTTTTATTCTTAGAACTAGAAAAATATGAAGAATAAGTTGAACTGAAATTAAAGTTAATCCATATTGATGAAGACAAGCATCAGTAACTAACTCATATGAGTTATATTTGTATTTTCCATGAAAACATTTGTCATTAAAGCCTACGACACATGATGCGTGTTTTCCTGCTGGATAAGTTGTGTTTTAGTGAATTACTAGAATTGCATTACACAGAACGTAGAATTTTTAGTAATTTACCACGCATCATATGCGCGCGCCACAAGAATTTATTAATACCCACCGATTTAATAGTGCCTAATAAATCCTCTTCTGCTTTGCTATATAAAGTTCTTGCTTGAATAGTGGCTATTAGTTCAGGATGCAAATTACGCATAGCCTGCACAGCTACACGCGAAACCGCACTGTCATATAATAACGCATACCACCTTTGCTGTATTTCCTGCAGTGTGAAACGACAGGAAAATTTTGTACCTCGATGGACCTTAAACAGACAATAAGGACATTAGAAATATATTATATTTTTTCTTATCGATATCTCTCTCTCTCTCTCTCTCTCTCTCTCTCTCTCGAAGAAGAAGAAGAAGAAGAAGAAGAAGAAGAAAACAATTGTGCCTGTAATTATGCAAGTAGTCAAAGTAAAAAAATTAATTTATCCCGTATTTTGAAAAATTACAATGATTCGATTTTTTATTTAGACCACTTTCATAATTACTGGCACAATTAGAAGCAAAAAGAAGATAAGAACAAATTAGATACATACCATCCTTAAATCATTTGTCTGTTGTACGCCAGTAATTAATGCCAAGTCGTCAGCGGGTTTCCATCGACCGAGATCTTTGGTGGCGTTGAATGAATGAGAATGATTTTTACTCTTCTTATTCTTTCGTCCGGGATTTGAACCGCTTGGTCTGCTGGGTCTACGATTGCATCTGTCCGACTGTACCAAAGTGGTCGGAATCGGTATCGGAGTTGGCAACGTTTGCGTCGGCAAGATGTCCATGGGGCCGGCGGTTACCGAAATCGTTCGTGATTTCGACGTTGATTTGGCGCTTGTAGGAGGCGGTTGTAGATTGAACGTTGTTTCCACGACCTCATCGTCAAATTTTTTGCGTTTTATCGTGCGCGAAGAGCTTTAAGGAAAAGAAGATATAAGTAATAATAATTTTTCAACTTAGCAATGATTTATAGTTTATAGTAAATTCAGTTATTTGCATTACATTGAATTGATGCACATTAAAAAGGCTGCTACATATAAAATATCTAAATGTAGTGGTACAATATAATCAACTTTGACGGTGATAATACATGTATATTCTATTAAATAATGTCATTATTGGATATTTAATTATTAAACATTTATAAAACTTTTACATTTAACTTTACCAATTTCATATGTAGCAGTTTTTATAACAATATACACTAATTTAGTATTACACAATCAATAATATTGATGAAGAAATATTCTTAAATCAGTAATACTAATTGATATTAATATTGTGACAACCTTACATGCATCAGCATTATTGACTATATCTCAGTTCAGTTTTGCATACATAATTATGTAACTTTATTGATTTATACGCGCTTTTTTTTACACATCCTTTACATGGATGTTTTCCAGCAAGAGATACAGATAACACAGTAACATTCTTGTTTGCAAATGTTAAACAAAGATGAAACGATTACTATGTTATACTGTATTGAAATGAAAACACAGTCTTGCATAACACATAATACATAATGCGTAAGAAAATAAACCAATCAAAGTCCTTTATTTCTTTCTTTTCCATTAAACATAAAGATTCTAAGTGCTTGATTTTCTTATGCGTTATGTGGTATGCAAGAGTATGTGCTGCTACCCTTACTTGTGGAAAACACCATGTCGGTATCAATAATTACTGACAATATTGTTGATCTCATATGGTTAATATTGATATATTGATATATAGAATATATTGATATATA